ATACAAAGTTAAGTTAGTTTACACTATGTTTATACCAGTTGATTGGAAAGAATAATTTTTGCATAGGCCTAGGGAAAACATTTAACTAAAATTGATAAATGTGTTACTTACTAAATAAACTGGTTTTTTAATTTTATACCAGTTTTCAAAAGAGATATTTATGTGTTTTTTTAAACGTTTTCAAATACAAAATCATTGGGAGTGCCTTTGCAGACTTTTAAACATATTTTACTGAAAATATATATTTATACTAGTTGTCAAAATCTTTAAGAACTACTATTGTAGGAGTTTTATTTTTTGTTTTCTTTTCGCGTAGGGAAAGGTTGTAAAGTTAAACCTCATATGATTATTACCAACCATTTCAATGCAATGAAATTAAGCTGTATTCTCTATTATACCAGTTTCAGTTTTCACATTTGCGCACTATTGTGTAAATAAATTACTTTTTGCATTTATTTCACTTAAATATACAGTAGGGATAAGATCTAAACACTCATACCAGTTTATACCAGTTGGCAAATTTATTTTTCAACTAACGTGCACTTATTGTACTCCCAAGGTTGTTTTATACAATTTATCTTAATTTATCTTACTTGAAAGTATTATTCTCTGCGTTTATCTCAGTGTCTCAATAGCACAATTTTAATAAGCCACATCCCAATACCGCGATTATAAGTTCATCACCCGCACGTTCCTTCTGCTTTATATTAGTCAATTTCCGTGCTGCTTTTCCTTCACTCATAAGCCAACGCTAAGCTACAAGTTAAGTTTCTCGGTGTAACAGTTTGCTATCCAATTTCCTGTTCACTATGACTTTTCATACCGACGACTGGTAGACGCTACTCTTGTTGTCTCGCTACTTCCACAACCAAAGTTTTTTACTGTTTTATTATTACTTTACGCACTTTTGCGTACTTCCATTCCACTTTTGGTGAAACGATTTTTTTTTTTTTTTTTTTTTTTTTTTTTTTTTTTTTTTTTTTTTTTTTTTTTTTTTTTTTTTTTTTTTTTTTTTTTTTTGTATATACATTGTATGCTACTTTCTCAACTACTTTTTCTTTACAACTTTTATATCTCGCCCACATATTGCGCGCTACACTTTCTGCTAAACAACCGTAAGACCAGCTTACACACCGGTCCAACCCATGCACATGCAAGTACACATATACACACAAACATCTGAGGATACACAGTTTGTTTTCGCCAAGTCACTGGCAAAGTTCTTAAAGTCCTCGCTTTTCATAATATGAAAAATTGTTGTTGCAAAAAGTTATTATTATTTTTTCAGTATTTTTTTTTTTTTTTTTTTTGATTTTACGCAAAAGCTTTAAAAATATAAAAAAAAAATTAAAAATAATTCACGGTGCAAGAAAGAAAGAAATAAAAGTATAAATAATAAAATGTGGAAAACGCTTTGGCTTCAATTGCAGCCATAAACTGTTTTTATGTGTTTGACATGACATTCAAGCAAACATGTGTTTAAATAGTGAATGCACGGCACGATGCGTGAGTAGCTTACTATTAAAACGCTCAAAGTTATGGCGGTGTGTACAAACAAAAATTGATTGGAAAAGTGTGCACATGTGGCGCGTTTTTTAAATTTTATACACACACACACATATAGGAAAATATTTGAACTGGTAAACATATGCAAGTTGTATGTGAAGAAACTAATATAGCGACCTGTGAAGAGACCAAATAACTAAAAGTGTGACGTGAGCCTTTAAAAGTAGAAGTGCGCGTGAGAAATGCACAATATATGTTGTGCAAGCGAAATAATGAGATTTATAAGTTTCGACCAGTTTATACCAGTTTTGTAAAATGAAATTTAGCAGCTGAAAAGCTTTATAAGGTACATAAAATACACATTTGCAACATTTATTAAATGCTGGGAGCGTTGTTTTATTTATATCGGTCAGTTTAAAATAAGAATTTTATGAAAAACTTAATGTAGTAAGAATGGTAGAACAGTTCTGACCACTGAAAAACATTTAAAAATTTATAATATGAGAGTTTATCTAACAATATGGCTTCTAGGTCTTTTAGGTCTTGCTAAGCAGGTATAATGTTGCTGGGTTGCTTAAAAACAACTAGGTACGGTTAGAGAATTTTAATTGGCGTGCGTTTCATTACCTAAATTCACACTAAAGCTCGATATTGCGCCTTAGTTCTCAGAGAGTTATAATGATACAAGAATATCATGCAAATGAAAGAATTTTATGAATTTAGTTTGAAAAGTTAATTTAATGCTTAGATTGATTAAAAAAAACATACTATCACGCATTTAGTACATTAAAACAATTGAGACCAGCTCACAAAATAACAAAAAAATTAAAGACATAACGAAATGATTAATTTTAACCAGCCGTGGTTTTCTCTAATACATATACATATATGTATATTATTTTTTAACTTCGCCCAGTTTATGCCAGATAAAAAATTATTAAAAGTGGTCCCAAAGAACAACACTGCGTTATGATTGCTAAGAAACAAAAAATTTCAATATTATTTGCGGTTTAAGCGCTGCTTTCAATTTTCGACCAGTTCCAAAAAATGCGAAAACGCCACTTGCTAATAGAAAACCACTTTTAAAATAGTAAACCAACATCAGAGAAATTAAAATATGCGGTTTTAGAATTTCGACCAGTTAAAATAATAATATAAAATAAAAATAAATTAAAAAATACGTATACTCATTAACTATTCATTACGGCAAAAATTGTTATAATATCTCTAATCCTCTAACGCACAAACGACGTTGCTGCTCCACACCCTTACCCACCAACCACCTATGAACCTTCAAAAATGTGCCCGTTACAACTCCGTTGCCCGAGCGTACATCGACGTCAAACGCTTGTCAGCCGCCGTTTGTGACCCCAGTAAGCTGCTGCACATTTCAACCTTAGCGCGAAACCCTTCACGGTTACGCAATAATATTATCGTTTAGCATACTGTCAGGCGTGACAGCAGTAGCGGGATTTTGCTGGCAAAATTTGATTTAATTAGACATGAGAAATATCAACAAAAACAAAATAATAACTACATAAACATATTATATGAGTATGTACTTATTTACTTGAATAATAAAACAAAAATATGCTTAAGTGATTTGCGTGCGTCTTCTGACTGAAGCCATCAAAGTGAAATGATATGATGGGAGCTCATTAATGTTTTCCCTTTCATTTAGTGTTGTGTGCGTAGGATCGTTGTCTTTTGCGTTCAACATCTTGCGCGTTTTTTTATAAACGCACCATATGATAAAGTTTCATTTCATGCCATTTCAATATTTGTGTTGCCTTCGTTTATGCTGTCTGCCGTATTGAGACAGGGTTGCGCAAAACATATGTGCTCGCGCGCATTAAAACGATTCTTGTGTAGGGTTCATGGAGTACCGCGCCTTACATTTTAATTAGATTGTTTAATTGGGTTGACATGCCACAAAGTATGCAAGGCATTATTACAAGCTGTTATTTTTCGATGTGTAAATAAAGTGAGTCTATTTTTATGATAGTCAACTGAAAATAAGTAGCTTTCAACGTCACAGGCTTACACTTATTCTCCCCAACAGGAAGTTTTCGATTTCAACGCGCCTGAAGCCGACACTTTATGCCTTCTACTGCTCTTTTTAGTCACTTATGGCAACCAACTCTATGTGGTGCTTTACAATCATTCAGTTGTTAGCTGCATTTGCCAGCTTTTCTGCTGCGCATTTATGTCGAGCCTTCGCTCACAGCCACTACACATTTTCGTTCTTTTGCAAAGCCATTATAAAGAGTCGCTGTTGCCTCGACGCTTCGTTGAGCTACACAATTCAGCCAAATTCATACATCTTTCAGCATCGTTGAAGCATCACTTATGTATGGCATGTGCATAGCTTATGCATCCATTCTGCGGCCTAATCCTTTCATCCATCTACTGCTCTGTTCTTACACTTCCTCTCATTCTTCTACATATTCTCTGCGTCCACACGACATATCATTCACCGCATCCGCATGTGTGTGTCTGTCCAAGTGTGCACATTCGCTTCACTGTTCATAAATTCCAGCTAGTACGCTTATATGCTCGCTCTTTTTGGGCTTTTAAGCGTTTTCGGCGTAGCATACTTTCAGGCTGTTATATGGCCCCAGTGTTGGTAGCGAAATGTGTTTTCAACTGTGCTGTAGCCGCTAATCAGCCAATTTTTGTGGTGCATCGTTGGGTTTTTCTTACGGTTGATTGGATTTTCTAGTAGCCACAACACACTTGTTAGTGGTGAGTTGATTGGCTTGTGTGCATTACGCCTGATTGTATGCAATGAACTTTTTCGTGAAATAAAGCAAACACGAATAATGATTTTTGGCTGCTAAACATTGAATTTACTTTGAAGAATTTTTTTTTTTAATATGTTGATTGCAGGCATACATAAATTGTATACCACTTTTCATAAAATTAAAATTAAATGGTAAATGAACCATTTTCTTTACAAAAAGATGTATATTTCGTTGAAGACATAATTTAGAAACTATTGAAATATGTATATGTATCGTAGAATAAAGATCACTATGGAGCCAATAAGCTTGTAAAAAATTATACCAGTTTCGACCAGTTCTATTTGTCATTGAAAAACTATTCTTATGCAAAACATGTGTTCTGACGATTAAAAAATGATAACACTTTCGAGTGTAATACAATAGTTTGGACTTATTTTTTGGAGCACAATTTATACCAGTTTCTGGTCGAATGAAATAAACTGAATTTTATTCTGAGACGCATAATTTATACACATAAAAATAGAATCGCTCGGAAAAGTCATTTGAATAAGGTTATACCAGTTTCGACCAGTTCTATTTTCTGTGAAAAAAAAACTTTCCAAAAGCAATATTGATTTCTTTCATACTAATCTGGCTTTGAACTAAATATTATTATAACGAACTGAAAATTACCCATAATTTTAATACAGATACCTAAAGCTTGCAAAGTAAACAGAAATTTACAACACCTTTCTGTTATACTCATTACAGATGAATTTTGCGAAGATTACCCCCACAACCTTATGCCCACACCCGGCTACTGGATTGAATGTTCACGTCAGAAAATCACATTACCCACACTTCATACGAATTGGGATGAAAGCGACTCAGAGCACGAAGATATACGAGCGGGCAGCTCCAGCGACGCATATCTCGAGCGTGAATGCAGCGATCTCTATGAAGACGATGAAGATTCGGAAGCGACCCCAAGGTGAGCTCGCAAAGAAACAGAGCTTAGTGTACGAGTAATAGTAATTAATAGCACCCCGCAGTAAAAACTCGCCAAAGACAAGCAAACACTATAAAAACTGTTGATAAATAATTTTAGACCAATTGTAATTGGCGCAACCTTTTTGATTTTTGCTCATTAAAGAAAACAAAAGTTATAGCCGAAACCAGAATTTTTTAATAACTCCAACATTTTGTTTCCCTTTCCGCTACACCACGCCAAAAACCCCGCCCACCGAAACTTTAAATACATAAACACACACCATCCATTTCGTTGCCACCCCCCGCTTATGAACACACATACGCATATGCACCGACACACACACACACACGCATTCGTTGAACAATTTTATACGAATGTTTAAGTCCTAGGAAAAAGACAACAATCGAGGATCAATGGGATCAACAGGGCGCCTTCGAGCTCATCTCCGTCGAACAAGAGACATACGAAAAGTACTTTTACGGCACCGAGCACTGGAACTATTTTACGAGCGATGAGGATCTCGGCCCCGTCATACTCTCCATCAAACAGGAGACACTGAATGGACGCGATCAATTTCGCATACTGGTACGCGCCGGCTCGTATACGGTGCATGGACTGATACCGGCGTCCTGTGTATTCGCCGATAGGTAAGTGAGGCAGTGAGATAAGAGAAAGGAGCTGACTAGCTAAGCAATTATTTCTACTTTGCAGATATAATCGGGAAGAAGTAGTTAGATCGCTAGGTAAAGAAGTTAATTTGAATCCACCCCTCACACTGGGGCAGCTACCCGATACGCCCGAGGAGTTATTGAAACTAGATCAGGTATGAGTTGCAGATAGAGGCGAAGAGATAAGAGAGAAAGAGGAATAGTAGTAGTTAGTAGTTAGTAGTAGGATCATGCCAAAATATTTTTAAAAGAGGCAACTTCTCACTCTCCATCTCTTCGTCTGTACTTCCCTTCTCTCTCATACCTTCTCTCTCTCTCTCTCTTTCTCTCTTTTTTTTGCCGTATGTATATGATACTCTTTTGTGCTCTAGGTTTTTATAAAATCCGAGCTGAAAGTGGGAGTGATTTATGTTAAAGAGGATCAATTCTCTGAGGAGCAAATTTTAGACAATAACGAAAATTCCATACTCTTCGACGAATTCCTAACGTTACTCGGCGATCGTGTGCGTTTACGTGGTTTCGATAAATACAAAGGTGGCCTTGACACGGTGCATGATTTGACAGGTGAGTAAATAGTGTGAATAAGTGAAAAGTTAATGAGGGGAAGAGCTACATATAGGGTAGTCGAAAAAGTCTTTTCGTATATCGAATCAAACTTCAATTTATTCATTAAACCAAATATGTACCATTCGGTCGATCACTTTTTGCCATTTTTCCGCTGGAGATATTATTCCATCAGTGTAAAACAAAACTCCAACAAATACGAAAATACTTTTTCGACCAATGTAATAATTTTTGGAGGGAAAGATAGTAATAACATTTAATTTCATAATATCTGCCGCGCAGGTCTCTATTCGGTTTACACCAATTGGCGTAACATTGAGATCATGTTTCATGTATCGACGCTCTTACCCTACGAGAAGCATGACCCGCAAAAGCTACAACGCAAACGTCACATCGGCAACGATATAGTCTGCGTGGTATTTCTGGAAGCGGATAACACGCGCTTTAGTCCTGCCTGCATTAAGTCACATTTCCTGCATACATTTATACTGGTAAGATCATAAATACTAGACACTTACCTTATACACTCACACACTAAACAGCTGCTTGAGTACGCTCTCTCGCTCTAACTCCCACGCGCTTATTTCATCCAATTCACACATCAGGTTTGCGTCTCGGCTCGCATCAAACACAAACCCACACGTTATGAGGTTTCGGTGGTGACGCGCGATGAAGTCGGCGCCTACAAGCCATACCTCTGGGAGCAGTCAGTGTTCGAAAAGGGTACAATGTTTCGGTGAGTAGCCTAACACTTACGAATTTTCACAATTTCACATTTTCACTGAACACTGAATTTACACTAGCACTTTTAAACACATTTTACATTTATTTGCCACACTTTTTTCATTCACTCGCGCGCGTTTTTCTCTTTACAGCGAATGGCTACTCACGAAAATCGTCAATGGTGAACGTGCCTCATATTCGGCACCGAAATTTGCACGCATGCAAGAGCGTACACGCTCACAAATGCTTGAGGATTTGGTGATGAATTTATCGAATCATGCTGAGACCGGACAGATACCGAAACCGTACCGTAGGGGCTCGTGGCGACCCATCGGTGAGGATGAATATAACAAAATGTTGCATGCAAGAGTTTTAGCCCAAGGGGCGGCCACACCGCAATCGTCGTCAGTGGGCGTTGATGTGTGCTGTGTTAATCTCGGTTCCAAGCATAGTATGTAGGCGTTGAGTTGAGCCTTAATTTGCGAGACCCTCCTCGTTCGTTTACAAAGAACCTGCAAAATTTAATATAAAAAGAAAAGCAAATTAATAATTGAAAATGCATATACAATATATTTTCTACTTTTGCCAAATGCTTGCAAAGATACACATACATATAATTGTTTCCAGTAAGAATTGGAGTAAATAATTATTGTGAAAAACTCAAAATTTTTATACATTTTTTACATTCTGAATTGGCAATTTGATCTTTAGACCAGTTTTGGCTATATTACCAAACCCAACGTATTTATATTCAGTTAAACCAAAGTAATACGTGTTTTTACCCAAATAGTTGTTCTAATTGCCGCAATACAATAAAATACATCAACCGATTGGCATAAATAAATTTCGACCAGTTTTCAATCCAAACGCTCAAAATGCTTGTAACCAACCGATATTAAAATTTAAAATAAAGAAATATTAGCTTGTGTGTAGTTAACTTTATTGATGGCTATATTTTATACCAGTTATGGCAATTATATTTCTTAATTTCCTTTACCTTTTTGTAAAAATTGGACAGAAATTATTATTATTATTATACCAGTCATATTAAAAGTATTTAAAGCACGTTTAAATTTTTCGGCCAGTTTTCTTTCATTAGAACGCATTATAAATATTAAGTCTACCTTCACATTTAAAGATTATAAGAACACTTGTTTCACTTATTATATAGTTTGGCGTATTTTGTTGATTACTATTTATACCACTTTATCATGCACGTATGCGCACTTTATTAAATTTACAATCCCTGAAATAATCATTGAAAACTATTATTTACGTAATCTTTATTTGTATAACTAAAATCTTCATTTAAAAAAAAATTATACCAGTTTGGTTTTTGCGCTGCTAAAAGTTTTTATCAATCGCTTATACATATTCTTGCAAAAAATCTATACAAAAGTTGTATTTTTTATTTTCTTTTATTACTTCCTTAATACTATATTGCCAGTTAAGTGAAAACACTGTACTCTCTGCGATATATCCTTAGGCTTTCGCACTAATTACCACCTCTTAGTTGGCGCCCTACTCAACACACCACAATTTACGCATGCAAGCAAATCCGTTTCGAAACCAAACATTTTCTCCTATCAATTCCGGTTCAATATATTGGTTGCTCGCACACTAATTGCTGTTGCATTCTAATCAGCTTAGTGTGAGATATACAAGCTTGGTAGACATGTCAAATGTCGATATATTTTACATTTAATCCGACTGGAAAAAGCCAATGGAGTAAGAGAGTATGTATGTATGTACATATAAACGCATCTACACACGAAAGACATTGATTGTCGGCCATGATTAATAGTTGTATGCGTCACATGTCCAACAATTGTTTTATTGAGCATAGTGTGAGGCGCGCTTAACTATGCCAAAGCTACGTAAGGGCACTACGTAAAGCGAAAAGGAGCAAACACAAATCAGCGTCGTACAATTTAACTCGATGCAAGTATAAATTTCTACTCTAGCGTAAATTACGCAAATACACGAGAGGATATTGCTATCTACTTTCAGGCGCTGTAGCGTTTTTGCATCTCCTCTTTGCAAATTTGCACCGTGCTACATTTTTCTCCTACCTACATAAGTTTGTGGCAAAAACTCTTATCAATTACAAGCAATCAAAGTGGTACGCTCGTGGCTTCACGACTAAAAAGAGACCAACACAGGTTTCTGGGCCAGCCCTTAGCTGACAGCAAGCATGTATCGAAGTTAAACGTATGCAACATCCAAAACATATTTACATATGGTGTGTGTGTGTACATATTACAACAACTAGCTGTGTTAAAATAAATATTGCCTACTTTTGGGCGTTGCATTAGGTGTATCAAAAGCATAGCAACCCGCACCACCAACACCACAACCGTTGAAACGCGTACATATCCTGCCTTCTGCCACAAGTACATATTGTATTTATTTATGCATTTATTTGCGGAAGTGCGTAAGAACTGTATATATACATACATATTGCTTGTTTTGATTCTCGTGGGCTTTAGCATACGTTCCAATGACTGACAGGATATGTGCGCGGCAAGACAGCATGCCGAGCAATAACAAATTATTATCATATATCATGCTGTGATTTGTTTGTTCCTATACACTTAGCAAGTTGTGTTTGTTTTTGTTGTTGTCGCGATAGCAAAACCTCAAGCTACCTGCTTATGTGTGTTCTTTTTTACGAATTTCACTTTCATATCCGCATGTTTACTTTACTTGCGTTAGAAAAGCGCGCATAAGCGCCTTTAAGTATGCACTTAAATATAGCAAACCATACATATCAACGCAGCTTATGAAAGGAAGTCAGTAAGCCCACTGTTGTAGGTACTAAAGTAGCATTTCCATTATTATCATTATTGCAATTTATGTATATTTATAAAAATATGTAGCAAAATTGATGATTTTTCAACGTACTGGCTCATAAATTATACATAACTTAAAGCAGAAACATGTGTAATAAGCTCTTCGAGTGACCTTTAAAGGTAACAGTTACCGAGATTCTACATAAAATTAAGCCTAGTTATTCAAAATTTATTAAAAAAAGTAAAAAAAAAAAAAATTTCTTTTAGCTAGGAGGCTTTTGAGTATGGAGTATTATAAGTACGGTGGGCCTTTAAAGAATAAAGTGGCATGTTCTTGCTTAGAAAGAAGTATATTAATACTTTAAGTGAACCATGAGCACAAAATCGATAAAAATCACTACCTAAGCACACTTTAAGCTACTAAAACAAATTATACCAGTTTCGATCAGTTCTGTTTTCTCGCTTTGACATCGCTTGTGGATTTAAAATATTATAGTTAATTTCTTATAGACTTTAAACTAATAAAACAAATTATACCAGTTATGTCTTCTCACCCGGGCATCGCTTGAGAACTTAAAATACTATATACAATTTTTCGCAGACTTTAAACTGAAAAAGAAAATTATACCAGTTTCGACCAGTTCTGTTTTCTCACACTGGCATCACTTGTGAATGTAAAACATTACATACAACTATTGGCAATATTGGCATATGCTCGGCATGAGGATCTAGCCCATAAATTGTAAAGAAACCAGAAGCTAATTAGGTAAAATGGTATCTTTGAGATTCTTTCTAAAAAAAAAAAAACGAATTCGAGTCGAATTTACGCCGTTTGAAGCACTGTCTTCTTAATGAGTTCATATTACTTAGCTTTCTGTAACAATTTTCATTTGGGAGTAACGAAATTGAAGCTAATTAATCGGCTTTTGAATGTATTATATTATGATTCAAAAGCGACAAAATAATTTAAATAATATTAAGTTATAAAATCGACCACAATCGATATAGAGCTCTCTTTGTATCAGTGATGATCTTTCTTTGTTGAAAAGAGACTGAGTGTTCCGAGCGGATCATGTTATGACGAAGCGCATGAGGATGACCCCAGTAACCTAAGTCAAATCTCTTAAATGGTTACAAAATAAAAGGGTTATTCAAACACAGATACAACAGGCGACTTAAGGCTTCAGTGTAAGAAAAGCCTCGGCACTTTTCACTTGCTAGCTGACACAGTGAACTCGCCGGCTTCGTCTTTGAAAGGAGAACTTAAAGACCGCTTAAAATATTTGAACATTACACGCAGTTGATCTTGGCTAACAACAACAGAGATGGCTCAGCACAGAGAAAAACATAAATCGATAGTTTGAAAGAAAAATATAAAATATTTTTAAACGGCGTGCACAGCCAAGCACATGTAAGCTCTTGTAGCTCTTGGAGCTCAGTGTTTTAACAAATTAACTTTTGCAGTCTTCAAAAATTAATCAATACGCGAGCTCCCAGCTTACACCGGCTTATGAGTACACACCCCTCTATGCAGCATCATAAATTACTTTTATGTTAAGGCTCAAAACCTCAACAATTGACCCAAACAAACTTCAAACAAAACTGTCTTCTTTCAATCTGCCAAAACTTGATTCCATCCAGCCAATTGTACTCACTTCTGAGCATACATATTTGTGCGTTTCGCACCCCGTTTGAATCAATGAACTCATACCACAGACCACTATGGCGTCGAACACAAAGTAAAAAACAAAATTGCCAACAAATACCAAACAGATCACTCACTCATACATTCAACAATACATTTGTTTCATGAGTCCCATCACTCCATTACAGACTACTCTTCATGCCACTCTCAGTCTTATATTTATATAAGTACAATCACTCCATCCACCGGCTGCGACGACTTGCTCACACCCCGCCAAAGTCTGCCACAAAATATTTGCGTGGGAAAATCCCATCAATCACGTTCCGTTAGATTTTGGCGGCGCTAAGCTGGATGATGCTTCGCAACAAATGCGGCAGCGAGTCGTGTGAGTGAGTGAGCGATAGCAAAAGCATATGTTGATGAAGAAACGTATATTATATAAGTGAATGACAAATAGTAATATAAAAAGCGCAGGAAAAAGGAACAATGCAAAAAAGCAAAATGCAAAAAAAAAAAAAAAAAAAAAAAAAAAAAAAAAAAAAAAAAAAAAAAAAAAAAAAAAAAAAAGAAAAAAAAAAACGCATAAAAAACATGAAGAACTTTGTTAATGCGTATGTGTGTGTAACAAATTTCATATAAAGCACATGATTGAGTTGCTGTGTAAGCCCACTTAAAGGTGGCGAAATTGTATGTGGCGACAGAAAATAGGCGGCTCCCTGGACATTGTTTGGGTGGCCGTTGGATTTGAAAGTCTGACGACCGCATAAATTAAGCAACATAGACTCGAAGGCTAGTTTTAAATGCTTCGATTTTCCCTTCGCACAACCTGAAGTAATAGAAATGCTTAGAAACCCAACGCTAAAGCTATTACAAAGCGCTACTTTCACATAAGATCCCTTTATTCATTCTGAAACTTCAAAAAATTTAAAAAGTCAAATATTATTCAAACACAAGCGAACTCCCATGGGTCGAACTTGCAATAAATCTGTAATAGCTTAGAGCACGTTTTGTAACACATTCGCTATGATATAATGTTAAAATTGGGGTATCCAGGTTTTAGGTACAGAGTTCCAAAGTGTGGGTTTCTCTGATATCATTGACTAATTAACGCCAGAAAAGAGTTAGATTCCGAATATCGAAGATTTGCCTAACTTATCATACGAGTTCAAGCATTGCGGACTTCAGGAGAGAGCCTATGAAGTCAAGGAAGCTTCGAATGAAGGTTAGACCCCGAATCCCGAAGATTCGCCTCACTTGTCATAAGCTAAAAATACTGGAAACAGATGTAGCGACCATTTTCTTGTTACTCATGACTCTATTGACCTAGGGATGGGAAGTAATACTGTTCAAGCGGATACAGAGCTCAAGCGTTCCAGACTTCAGAAGATAGCCCATGAAGTCAAGGAAGCTTAGGATGAACAGCAAACTTTTTTTTGTTTTTTTGTTATAGCATATCAAATAAGGTCCAGCGAGCAGATCATTGAAATTTTCAACTCTGAAGACGCTCTGCAGAGTTCATAAACGCCAGTCGCTTTGAATTGAACAAGCTTTCGATGAATAGACGCAGAATACTTATGGCTTTTCAAGCTCAATCTCAACTGCCAATCGAGCATTGCGCACTTGAGCTTAAGAGCCAAGTATCGAGTGCTACTCGTAGAATACGAACAGCAAGACAATTAACTCTTTCCGCACTAAGCTGCTGTCGATGGCTGGTGGAAGTACATAAAAGTGCACTAGCTAGTTGAATTAGTAAGAATATGTGAAGGGCTAAATGAGCATAAAATGGACATGACAAAGACAGCTTGTGACATTTCTTTGGCTACACAAAGGAGCAACCGCAATTGCCGTTAGCAGGCAAGGACACATCGAGCGAGCGCCGGTTACATCGAGGAAGCAAGTGCGAGAGTTGAAGATGTTCTCAGTGTGTATAAATTTTAATGTGTATGTGTATAAAAGCAACAAGGTTGGGAGGATGCCAGGTAGCAAGGACATGTGGTAACATCTATAGCTGCTTAGAGTTAGTAAACTTTACGATTTTATTGCGTAGGTGCTCGTAGCACATTATAATGCTTGCTTACACAGCATTTAAGGGAAACAATAAATGTCACTAACACACGCGCAAGAGGCAAAAATAGACTAGTAAAGGTATGTCAAAAGGATAGTATTCAAAAAAAAAATATGAATTTTATATAAACAGGTATGAGTGTAAATAAGTATACGGTGTAGCCACAATTGGACAAATAAATATGTGTACACAATTAATACCCTTATTTATACAGGCATTTTCTTGCTAATCGCAAAACAAATAGCTCACGAAAACTTTCCAAAAAAAATTGAGTTAACCCATATTTGTCTAGTCTAATAGAAACAGTTTTACCACCAACATGCTTGCATACTTTAAGGCGTTTTGCCACTTTCAGCACTGCGTGTTGATATTCCCTGGTGTCACGTGCACTTACATAAGGTCAACAACACACATACCATCAAATTATATGCACACATCCAAACATACATACACCTACATTTATCATTTCATTTACATATTCCCCAGCGCAGCAAAAATACTCATTACAATAAACGTTGGTGGTTGAGTGGATCGGTTAGCTAAACGTGCCAATGTCAAATTTGGATTAAACAGTTTTTTATTTTTTTCCTTGTTAAAACTATTAAAACTTTAGACAAAAATAAAGAAAAATTTTGTAAAAGATTTTTTTTTAATATAAAT